CTGTAATAATTCTACCTAATAAAACTGAAAAAGGAAAAAAACAGAAACATGAATGCCACACTTGTTATAGAACTTTTTCTATTTTTATAAATCTTAATTCAATTGTACACATTGTAAAAAGGGCAAGCCAGCACCCACCCCCTGAGCCACTATATTCTTCCATTCCCATTACATATTCTTAAAGTGAAAAAAAAAAAGAGATAATTCATCCTAGGACACTGGCTAGAGGATTACAGAGAATAAAATATTACCTTTTAAATTAGTTTATTAATGTATAAACTGCTTAAGTCTCTTTGAACTTGAAGTATGTTTGGCCTTGTGGCCTTTTTTCTGAGATACTTACATATCCTTCCATGAAATAATTGCTTTGAATCTTTAATGAGATGCAATAATGGAACTAATCTCTGCTAAAGGAATAAAAATGCTCTCTCAGTGACAAGAAAGACACACATTGCTTTCAGTGGTGAATCGATATATTTTCACTTTACAAGAAAAACAGCAGACTGAAGTTCTGAGGCACCACACATTTAATGAAGTGGAACTTATCTGAAAAGAGGTCACATACCATTTTCTGTATTATCTATGCAAATCGAAAATGGTGTTCTTTTTTATTTATACAGAAATAAACTGCATGTCAAGTAAATGCTGAGAATTTTTGATCGATAACCTCCTAGGCAAAATGAATCTTGATAGTTCCTATAGTGACATAGTGGCAACTCTTAATTATTCGTCTGAAGCTGGCCAGTGTCCTTTATGTTCAGATAATATTTTGAGAGTCTCTACTTCAGAATTACCTGATAACTGGGAAGTATAACTTTTGAAGATCAAAGCACACAGATTCATGGGAAGCTGATTCCAGTTTATAGTATCTGACCCTTCCATACAGACATGCCCACATATCTGTCATAGCCTTCACCTTCTAACTTATTTTTAAATCACAAGCATCCTTGTCCCAATGTGCTGCACTGATTTCTTCTATAAACCCACACAAATTAACTAGGGTTCCAAGAATTATGAGAAGTCTAACATTTTCATACAGAGGAGTTTCAATGCCCTCAAAACCCTCTATGCTCCAACTATTTAATCCACCCCCCACCCCCAACCCCTGGCAATCCCTGATGTTTTCACTGTCTTCACGGTTTTGCCTTTTCCAGCATGTTATTTGTTAGAATCATATAGTATGTAACCTTCTCAGATTGGCTTCTTTTACTTAGTAACATGCATGTAGGTTTCCTCCTTGTCTTTCCATGGGTTGAGAGCTCATTTCTTTTTAGCACTGAATAATATTCCATTGTCTGAATGTACCACAGTTTATTCATTCACCTACTGAAGGTCATCTTGGTTGTTTCCAAGTTTTGGCATTATGAATGAAGCTGCTAAAAACATTTGTGTGCAAGTTTTTGTGTGGACATAGTTTTCAGCTCCTTTGGGTAAATAAATACTCAGGAATGTGATTGCTGGAGCATATGATAAAAGTATATTTAGTTTCATAAGAAATGTCATCCTTGTCTTCCAAAGTGGCTTGTATTTTGTACCCCACTAGCAATGAATGAGAATTCCTGTTGCTCTGTTATCATCAGCTTTTGGTGTTGTCAATATTTTGGGTTTTGGCCACTCTACTGGGTATGTAGTGGTATCTCGTTTTAATTCGTATTTCCTTGATGACATATGAAGTGGAGCATCTTCTCATATGCTTATTTGCCATCTATGTATCTTGTTTGGTGGGGATATGTTAAGTTCTTTGGCTCATTTTCTTAGTTGGGTTGTTTGTTTTTTTACTGTTGAGTTGTAAACAGTTTTTGTATATTTTGAATAACAGTGCTGTTATGTCTGTTGCAGAAGTTTTCTACTTGACAGTGACTTGTCTTTTCATTCTCTTGACTTTATCTTTCACAGAACAATATATATATATATTTTGGTGAAGTCCAGTTTATCAGTTCTTGCTTTCATGGATTATATCTTTGACGCTACATCCCAAAAGTTATTAACAATGCCAACCTCATCTAGATTTTCTCCTGCATTATCTTCTAGGAATTTTATAGTGTTGTGTTTTACATCCATGTTAGAGATCCACTTTGAATAAATTTTTATGAGATGTGTAAGGTCTGCATCTAGATTCATGCCCCCTCCCACACACACCCCCGACCACCTCCCCCCATGTGGATGTTCAGTTGTTCTAGTACAATTTGTTGAAAATACTATCTTTGCTGTTGTATTGCCTTTGCTCCTTTTTCGAAAAACCAGTTGACTAAATATATGAAGGCCTGTTTCTGGGCTCTCCAGTCTATTCCACTGATCTATTTGTTTATTCTTTCTCCAAAACAACACTGTGCACTGTCTTGATTACACTATAGTTTCATAGCATGCCTTAAAAATCAGGTAACTTCCGTCATCCAACTTTGTTCTCTCTCAGTACTGTGTTGGTTATTCTGGGTCTTTTGCCTCTCCATGTAAACTTTAGAATTAGTTTGTGGATATCCACAAAATAAATTGCTGGGATTTTGATTGAGATTGCATTAGTCTCGGAGACCTTTAACCGCACCGTTCAAGTCTCGGTGACGTGGTCAGCACCGGGACTGGAGGGGAATTTCCGACCATTCCCCCACGCACCCAGGGCGCCCCAAACAGGGCGCTGGAACTTGAGACAAGAGTGGAGGGAGGGAGAGGCTGCTCTCAGGTCTCTTGGCGGCGGGAAAAGAGTGACTCGGAAGAGGAGCGCGAGCGCCTCCCCGCTGCTCCTGCAGCCTCGAGGAGCCGCAGGGATCCGCGAGTCAAGGTCGGGAAGCGAGCAGCTCTCCCGGCAAGACCGGACCGAGCCGCCAGCCTCTGCCCCCGGCGGCACGGACTCCGACTGCGCCGCGCACCGGGTCACAAGTTTGCCGTGAACCGGCCAAATGGCGAACGTGGAGCTTCCCCCGGGTCCCTGGAAGAGCGTCCCTGCTCCTCACTCAGGCTGGTGCAAATTGCTCTAAAATCCAGGTTCGCGCCCGTGCCCCTTGCAGCCAGCTTCCTGGAGCCTCCGGAGGCCGGGACCCAGGCGCGCGCGGGCTCTCAACCTAACACATCCACGCATTTACACATACAGAGAGACACATACAGACGGAGGGAAGGGGACAGAGGGAATTGTTAGTGATGGTAGTGGGGACTGTAGGTTTCACAGTAAAACAAACAGTTTAGACAATGCGTGTGGGATTATTTCACAATGGAGCAAAATGGAATCTCTCCAATTTGCAAAGAAATGTTCATCCGCAGATCCATTAAACCAAATCAAATGTCAGATTTGCACTCAGCTTTCTCTGTGAGTGAAAGGGAAGTATGTGTAGTAAGGGATGCTAAAGAGAGTTAGCTCAGTATTTCGTTTTAGTTACTTTTTATTTTAACCTCAGAATGGTAGGGGGCGCGCTGAGACCGTCCAAAGGAAATCAGAGCATGTTAAATCATTGATTCATATACTGGTATGCTATGAAATAACACAGTATACTTGGCTTTCAGATGACTCGGTAAAAGTTCCGTTGTTCCCAAATACGATTCCCCTTTAAACTACCTGTCAGTCATTTTTACTAAAGAAAAGCGTTTCTAAGTTCTTTGGCGCTAACCAATATGGTCAGAGGTTTAAAATTAATTGTAAACCCAAGCCACTTGTGTTTCATGCTTTAGCTACCTATATGAGCAAGGGACTATTGAATGTAATCTAATCTTATAATTTACCCTGAATTTTGCTACTGAGTTAGTAGGAGAAATGTAAGTTCTGAAGACTATCTTTAAATACTTCGGTACTAAATTTACATGACATTGGTACAAAACAGATGGTCCTTAAACCCTTTGTATCCCATGGGATACTTACATAAAATGCTTAAGAACATTTCTTACTTATACATGGTACAAGTGAACTATAACAACGTATGTTCTCCATCAAAAGTGTTTCAATGGAGAGCTGCTTGTATGAAATTAATACTAATGGAGAGTCGCTTTTTTTTTTTTTGAGCAAAAAGAGAAATCACTACAGGATTATATGTACAATATTTTGTATTCATAATCACAATTTGCTTCTAGCTTTAAATAACAAATAATTGATGTGTATTTATGGCTGTGGCTTGTGAATTATATAAAAATGATAATTTATGATGTTATATGAAATGTGACCAAGTATTTGGTGCCTCAAGAAAATCTAAATGCTAAATTAAATTGATGTTTACATATAACAATTTCCCTGACCATTAGTTTCTTCATTTTAAAACATTGTCATTAGACCAATCTTTCCTCAACTCCACCATTCTCAGGCTACAATTTTAAGTTATGGTTATTCTGATATTTCATTGATTTATCTGAAGCTATTATGTCATTTGAATAATACAAGGGTATTCCTTATATTCAAGACAGTTTCTAATTTTATTAGTACAAGTATGATAGTATTTTTGAAAAATAAACTTGGTTTATTACAATACATAGTTAGTACTGCTAATTAAGTAGCCTCAGAGTTAATGGACACACTATTTTAAAAGTCCAAAAGGAAGTCATCCACTTTCTTCTAGTGCATAACAAATGTTTAATGTACAATAAATAGTGAGTTATAACACAAAATAGATATAATTTAAGAAAGAGTGAGGTGAGGTTGGGTGAAGAGGAAGAAAATACATTCACTTGTAGATGTTTGAGTAGCCTTGTTGAAGAAATCCAAGCATGTAATTGGATATATTGATCTAGAATTTTAGAAAGAGAATTAGAGTCAAGGTGTGTATTTAAGGTTTAAATTCAATGAGAGTAGTTGAAACCCCAGATGTAAATGAAATTACTTAAGAAGAACTTAGAGGGAAGCTGATGAACTAAATTAGTTCTTTTGGAGAAACATGCAGACTAAAATTCTATTAGATCCATGGTAGATTAGAACAGTTTTGTATCACCTGTGATAGATGCTCAATACATTTTTGAAGGAAAAAGTTTTTACTTCATCTTTCAGAAGAAACTCTTCCCCCTTGAAATTTGTTTCTAATCCTTTTCAGTCTTTAAACAGGTAATTGTGTTCCAAGGAAAAGAGATATCTAAAGCCAAGTACAGATGGTGGAGTTCACATGGATAAAGACACACAAGACCAATAGTCATGTGTTTCTGGTACAGTATTTTCCCACAACATTCAAAAATGCTGTTCTTATCTTTTAACTGATATTCAGAGCAGGCTGTGTTGGGCTTAACAATTGTACTATTGGCTGATGGGGTATAACAGGGCCAAATAAAATTATCCTTCAGGGGAAGAAAGACAGCAAACACAGTGGCCAAGGTTATGACCTGGAATGTTAGACAATTGAATTAGGGTGTGCTTAAGCTACAGACTAGCGGTGAATTAGTATTAGCAGTGTGTTATTTAACATCTCGGAAACTTAGTTCTTATTCTGTAAAGTGATAATGGCAAGAGAAAACTTTATTGGACGGTTGTGAGGATTACATGAGACAACCCAAGAAAAGCATTTACCCTAGTCAGTGCTTGATACATAGTAATCGTATAGAAAGTGTTAGGCACCATTAATCACCACCGTTTCATTTCTGTTTTAGGTACTGTTTGTTTATAACCAGTGTAAAATTCTCTCGTTCTTATACCAGCATTGATGTGGCATCCAGCACTTTTCTGTTAAAAAAGAAGAAAAGAAGAAAAGACATCTTTCTTCTCAATAGGTACATTGCTTATTTCTTTTACCCCCAATCTTACTGCATTGGTGGGATTCCAGTACAACATTGAAAGGTAGTGGCTGCCACAAGTATCCAGTCTTATTTTAATCATAAGATTTCTAAAGTATTATTGTATATATAATTTTCCTTAAGTTTTTGGTAGGTTTAATATCGCTTATAAGCTTGATGACTTGACTAAATGTAAGAGAAGTTTTGAACTATCACAAGCAATATAATTTTGAATTCAAAATTTACAAAATTTAACTTAAAATGCCACAGAATGTACCATTTATTTTGAACCCATGTAAATTATATGGGGATCCTACTCCAGATTTTGGGCTGAGGGCAAGAATGGATTCTTCATAACTCGCTCACTGACTGGCACCCAGTAGATGCTCGTCAGATATTAGATGATGTCTGTCTATTGCTATAAAAGCCATTATACACTTCAGCTTGACAGTTCATAGCCAACGGGTCAGACATTTTTGATAAACATAAGATACAAATACGCCACTTGCGTTATTTATGTGGTTAGATTGGCTCTGGTTCCTATAAGACAGAGTCTTTAAATTACTTGTATTTACCATCTGTTTGGACCCATTGAATGGGCAGGATATATATAATATTATATATATATGAGTTTGCATATTTTTCTGTCTACCCTAAAAGCAGATGTATTTTCTACAGTTTCAGAAAGATGCTCACACATATTATGAGTTTCAAAATGGAACTTCTAGTCTCATCACATACTCTGGCAGTTCATTTCCTGGATGAGCAAAATCTGCAAGAGACCGAAGTCTTTAATAGCCTGTGGTTGTCATGTACGCAAAACTTCAGCGCATTTCTTTTAATATTGAATAACATGGCCTAGAGCTATCTGAAAGCCAAAAGAAATCTCAAGTGAAAACAGTGCTTGCAAAATTCTCTACTTTTTCTGCAAGCTAAAAAAGTGTCTACGAAATCAGTTCCAAGGGCATTGGATCACACCGTTACCCAGCAGATCGATAATCTGCGTCATGGCATCCTGTTTGTAAGCCTGTTGCCTTTGAGACCATACATGGACTTCGTTATATAGTTACTTGTATCACAAATGCCTCCTAAGTCACCTGGTGGCCATAAGCTTGCCTTGTCCTTTGCTCCATTTAGACAACTCTCTTGGGCAGAGAATAATTGCCAGGAACAGAGACTCAGCTGTAAGCTGTTAGGCATCGAGACTCCCACAAGTTAAGGGAGTGAGTCTTCTGTCCTAAAAGGGCTATTTCTATCAATTCTTGGGGCAATAATTGTGATTTTAAGCTGAAAGGGTGAAAAGTATTTGTTATAAATTCCACCTTTTTTGTCAGGGAGTCACAGGTGGGTCCTGAGTGTGAGAGGGCTTTCTATGTCGACATAACTTGGTTGCTAGACTTCATTTTAATGACAATAAAGGTAACTTTTTGTTTGCGTTGTAATTTGAAAAGTCTTATACTTTGCTCTGTTGCTCTAGGATTAAAATTCTATTTTAAGAAATAAATTTCAGGAATAATTAGAACAGTTCAGAAATAGTTTACCCCAGTTTGGAGGAATTTAAGATGTTGGAAGGTGTGGGGAGTGTAATAGCTCAGTGATAGAGTGTATGCTTAGCATGCATGAGGTCCTGGGTTCAAAAAAAAAAGTTGTAAGGCAAATATTATAATGAGTTCCCTGACTAGGAAACACCTGGGGTGATGATCAGGCAGATTACTCAAGGTATAGACTGACAACAAAGAGGACAGGGACTTTTGGTCCCACCCCCAGCCGGGACCCCAGAGCACCTGTGTGGGTAAAATGCCGGCGGGCGTAGGGGAAGAAACCTCCCTGGGGCTCGTTGACATAAGAACCCAATGCATTGTGATTCAGCCTGTTGGTGAAGTCTTAACAGGGCTAAGATTAGACTGGGAAGATATGGAGATGCCACTGCTGGTGGAATTAAGATAAAAGTTTAGATGAAAATTGGAATTTCTGAACAGACTTTGAGGTGGTCGCATCTCCTTTACCTGAATCATTGGTGTTGAGCGGCCTCCTGCAGGCCTGCAAGCCTTGCAGTTGCCCAGCCTCGAGGCAGAGGAAAGAGCATGGAGACAGTGACAGAGACATCAGTGACTTACTGGACGGGGGTTGGTACACAAAAGATCCTAGAGGGATACCCCACCCTATGCGACAGACGGCAGGCAGGACATGGCAGTAGTCTTCTCTACTCCGGGGAGGAGGCCACCATTTATAGGGAAAATTGATGTCAGATGTGCTCATCAGTTACCGGGGACTAACAAGTCCTGTAATTAAGAGGATTGGATGGTCATGTGAGTGCAGCAGGGCCCGGGGGAGCAGGGGATCACAGACAGCAAGAGAACAGCCATTTTGACTAGCCTAAACATATAACTGGGATGGAATTTATGTACAGCTGGGGATTGCTTCCCCTACCTAATATGAAAGACAGAAGGCATGAAAGTCATGGGTCAACTGATAATATAGAACTCAGAACTCATTAAACTTCTTTCATTATTTTGGTTGTTTTATTTTCCTTCCTCTATTTTTTCCTTTAATTGTCAGCCTAGAACTAATTGCATAGAATAGTTTTGGAAGACTTAAAACATTACTTAATTCTCATTGTCTCTACTGTGCCGATTTATCCTTTAAAGTTTATGTTACAGATGCTGGGAATGTAGTGTCAGACACCAGGTGAATTCATTCAAGCCCTTATTCTAGCAGCTATCGGGGTAAGTTTAATAGCTTGAGTGTATACGCAAAGAAGAATATTTGAAAGGCATATTAAAAACTAGAGGAAAGGTAAGTCTCACATTTTATTCCCCAAGTTTGAAGAACACTCATGTATAAAAATAGCTGTAAGAGGATAATTGAGTTCAGCCATCAGCCTCTTAGTACATGACCCACACTAAAACACAATGGGCATACCCTCTATTTTAAAATATTAGCCTAAGGTGGCTAGTTCTAAGGCTTTAAAATAACAATTAATACGTCTTATTTGAGTACTTTCACTGCATTTTCATGTGAAAAAAAAATGGGAGTTTCCAAAGCTCTTACCCTTTTCTTTTTTTTTCCCCTCCTTTTCCTCTTTCTTTTTCTTTTCCTCCTTCTTTTCATATTGTATCTCTGTTACCTACTTCAGGGCTGAGCACCTTGTGAGGAGCAGATGGGAAAGACACACATATACAGGGGAACAGAAAAATAAATGAGAATGAAGACTCATGGCGAGACTCGGTGTAAAGCATTGCTAGGGCTTCCATTTGGTATATTTTCATTAAAGAGTTAAATGGATTTGCCACCAAGAGAGATTCTGCAGAACCACTCTACTAGACATGTGCTTATGAGAAAAGAGATGGACAATTGATATTTGCTGCATTTGACCTTATCTTTCCGTATTTTTAAATCATTGCTTATCTGTAGTTCAAAGGAAAATAAAAATTAATTCTTTTCTGTCCCCTGACTTCCCAGATATTTTCACTTGATTGTCCTTGAATGGTCTGTATTATTTAAATTGGAAATTATGCCAACTTTTGTGTATGGAAGTCTTTTTTAAAATATTAAATATCTTGAGAATAAGACTGATTTCATACTATTAAATGATATATCTTTGAATATACCTGTCCATCTTTGTTTTTTAACTTTATTTTAAATTAGTTTATTTGGTAATTCCTTGATCTGCATGTTTGCTTTTCTGATTTTTTTCCTTAGGGTAAATTGTCATCAGTTTTAAGTTTTGGGCTTGCAGAACACATAAGAAGGGGCAGCTGTTACAGTACCTATAGGATTAATCTGAAGAAGATAGAACTCCATCTTGGGTCATTTCTGCAAGAATCCAGGGTGAAAAATGTAAACTGAAAAGGAATCCTCACTTCAAAAGCCCTTTGACTTTCCCTGTTAAAAATGGGAAATAAAACGGAACAATTTAGAGAAACCAAATTGTATATTTGCTCAAGTACTCTCTTATCAGACTAGACCAGGGCCTTTGGAAGACTCACAAACAGATTCTAGATAAAGGTATAAGTGATATTTTGCTTTTTAATTTGAATGATACACTGGGGTCACCCCAGTGACTAACATCTCATCGCCTGATATCTAGCTATGTCCATGAACAACAATCACTGCTAGTAAAGCACAGATTTGGGTTTTCTTCAAAAACTATTTTACTGAGTTCATTTTAGAAAAGTTTTATTGATGTGTGGTCAGTTTACAATGTTAGTTTCATGTGGTCAGCAAAGTGATTCAGTTATACATATACATACATATATACATACAGATTCTTTTCTAACAAAAGTCATTTTTATGTTTAACTGGATTTAATGTTAATGATCATCTTATAGCACTCCTTCTGTTTCCAAGGTTTTTAAAATTACTATTTACTTAGAGTTGGTATGGTACATATTGCTCAGTAATTTTTTTCAAAAAATATGAATCAAATATGCAACCAACAAAAATAATACATCTCATCCTTTTTCATAGATTTTTGTAGTATATAAATTTAATTTTTCCATTTGCAGACTTGGGTTTCTATCATCAGGAAATTGTTCTACATGTTTGCCTTTATTTATTTGCTCTGTGTGGTAGATAGAATGCTGCCCCACCTCCAACCTTAAAGATGTTCATGCCCACATCCCTGACACCTGGGAATATGGCAAAAGAGACTTCGCAGAGATAATCAAGGCTACAGACCTTCCAACAGTGGAATTATCTGGGTGCCCTGAAGTACTTGCATGAGCCTAAGAGATGATCAGATTCTCTGGCTGGAGGCAGAGGACATGTGGCAGAAGGGAGAGTCAGAGATTCAAAGTGTTGAGGCAGCTTTTAGGAGCAAAGACAGCCAGCAAGAAAACGTGGACTTCAATCCTACAATCAAAGGGACTGAATTCAGCCAACAATCTGAAGTAGCTTGGAAGTGGATCCTTCCCTAGATTTTCCAGATAAGAAGCCAGGCTGACCAGCACTTTATTGTGACCTTGTGAGGTCTGGAGCAGAGGAACCAGCTGGGCCACCCATTCTTCTGACCCACAGAACTGTGAGATAATCAGTTTGCATTATTTTGAACCACTAAACTTGTGATGACTTGCCACAGCAGCAATAGAAAACTAATACATTCTATTTGTTACAGTATCTTTTTTTCCAGGATGATACCTTACGCATATTCAAATGGGAGTAGCATGGAGAGTAATTTTTATTTTGACCACAATTGAGTATTTAAATTCTTAGCTTCTGTTATCCTTATGTATCAAGACATATCAAAAAATACTAAAATAAAATAGTGAACATGAGACATGTAAGGCAGTTATGCCCATTTGCCGAAAAGATATTACCTTCTTCTGAAAGACTGTTGATCCATTAATTTCTTGAGTCAAGTTGAAAATTAAAGATACATGGCCAAGCTGTGTTTGAACACTTAAACAAACTCACACACACTCACATACAAGGACTTCTGCATGACAAATGTAAATCTCAATTAGTCCAGTGTTGTAAAATTGAGCCTGGCAGAATGAATTAATTCAAGTAGTTATTTTCAAACAAGATTGATGTGAAGAAAATTAATGATTCAGACTGAACGTCATAACATTTTTTTTTTCTTAAATCTCACATCTCAGTTTCTTTGCAAGGAAAGGCAAGAGTAATTGGTGGAGTAGATGAATATATAAAAGAAAAAATTTTAATTTAATAGAAAAGTAACCTTCCTAATTTTTTTTTCATTTATTCAGATACCCAATAAGCATTAAATGGAAAATGTAATTTGGAGTTTTTTAGTATAAGTTCATCCTTTATTTACCATATAATCATGATAATCATATATTTTAAGTCTGACTCCACCACTTACTTTTTGACTTTGGGCAAATACTTACCATCCCCGAGCCTCTTTCCTCATCCAAAATGGGAACCTTGTAAGGATGGGGTCCTGAAGAGATTAAAAACTATTGAAGCTATAAAGCACCTGTGCTCAATGGGGAACTGCTTCACTTGGGGAGAATCTTCCTTGTGACCCATGCTGTTCTAGATGCTCTGGCAAAAATGGAGAAGGATGAGTAAGACACACCCCCAGCTTTGAAAACCCACACTCTGGCAGAAGAGTCAGAAAACCAATCAGAGCAGTAAGAGCCAATGAGGTAAGCACCAGGAGAGCCGTATCTACAAAGTGCTGTGGGCATATGGGAGCGCCGGTTGTTTCAGCCTCACAAGAAATCAAAGGAGGTTTTATAGGAGTGATGATTTCTGAGCAAAATTGACAGTTGGAATTTGCCAGGTGGAAAAAATTTCAGCAGAACAGCAAGAGAGATTCACAGTACTGCTGGTCAAACAGGCATGAATTTAGAAAGACATGAAGTCAGGACACATGTCATATGTTCGGAGAATAGATAGTTCTGAGGTAACATTTTTCTTAACAAGACCCGGGCATAAACCTTTTTGACTTTGAACACTGTCCTTGAACACACAGCTACTTGCCAGCTGAAGCCAGAGGCTGTTTTCGGTCAGCACGGTCCTGAGTCATCCCATCAGGCAGCTGTGTGTTTTCAGAGAGCTAGGCTGCCAAGATGTGGGTGGTTGTGCAAACAGGGTGGATGGGGGACCAGATGTATGTCAACCAAATCAGCGCCCCAGAGAGCCAGGTGATGATGTCAGCATAAAGGTCTGTCTCAAAGAGTGAATGGACAGGCAGGGACCAATGCATATATTTAAAGCCTGGCACAAGTGTCTATATTCACTATTCCACTGCATTGAACCAGACTGGCTCCGCACTTGTACATCTGTGAGCCTTCCATTCCATATGACCCTATGTTCCATTTTAACCTAGTTCAGGCACTTGTATCATGCAGTAGGAGCAATCAAAGTCAAGTTTTATTTAGAGAAGAGCCTCCAGGGGGTTTTAGAAATTCACAAAAGAGAAGAGTTGACAATTTTCTGTTTAGGGTAATATGAAACAGGACTTGAAGTTCTTTTGCAAGGAAAATTAATCCTGTTTTCCTTCGATTGGATTGAATTGAATTTTGACGTGGTATGTCAGGGGCCCAGCCCAGCCCAGGCAGTGATACAGGAGGTAGCCAAGTAGTCATGGTTTAGGAGAAAAAGGAGCTTATCCCAGGGAATACATGACAAATGAATTGGGAGAATATTACAGTTAAAGCTAAGGTGATGTCGATTGGGACCGTCCAGTATCTTTCACTGTGTAGATATTTATTCATGGATGCTGTTGTGAGTAAAATGAACTGACAGGGACTGCCTTAAAATTCCCCTCAGCTTGACCAAACTTTAGATGAAGGTCTTCCTGCCTATGGGCCCGGACCTGCCTTTATTTAGAGCATTTATTTTAGACAACTTGTAATTCTTTCTTTTCCCTTTTGAGATATAAATTTTTTTTTTTAAAAATCTCTTGTCACTTTTACAACCCAGGACTGTCTTTCTGAAACCCTAGAAGGCTTCTCTTTGAAATGTGATCATCAAGGAGGCAAGCAGCCCTATCTCCCGGTCTCTGTGGGAAGACAGGAGCCGAGCTTAGGTGGGGCCCTTTTCTGGAAGCTGTAAAACTCCAGGCTGTCATGAAGATAAGAGAAAGCTTTCTTTTTCTTTTCCTTTGAGAAAAGCCAAATTAGCAAGCACATAGGGCTTATGACTTTTCTATGATCACCCCAGCTCTTAAAATTGTCTTTTGTTTCAGCAGAATCAAGCACAAACATGTTGCAGGATGTTGAATAAAAATTTCCATACCTGTTCAACTTTGGTGAAGTTTTTGCTTTGACAGAACCTAAAACTGAGTTTTCTGCATGGGCTGTGGGTAACCCAGTCCGAGAGATGAGAGGACAAGGGGCAGTGAGAACAAAGGTCACAGTAGGGCTGTTGGGGATCTGTGAATGTGAGGTGGGGCCTGGAACCAAGACGAGTTCATGGTCAAGGCAGTGAGGAGAGATGAGAGAAGCAAAGGAGGAAGAGGTGGAGCAAACATGCAACAGCAAACACCCAAAGTCGACCCCGCCAATAATTTGTGCTCCTCTGGAGCTTTGGTAGGATTAGAAGATAGTGATGTCATCAGGAAAGTGAAGGATGTGTGCCCAGTAAAAACTTATAGTCGAAGTGTAGTTCTTTTTTTTTTTTAATTTATGCTTCCAATTTATTTATTATTTTTTAATGAAGTGTAGTTGACTTACAATGTTAGTTTTAAGCGTACATCAAAGTGATTCAGTTATACATATATATACAAACATATTTACATATATATATTTCAGAATCTTTTCCATTATAGCTTATTTCAAGAAATTGAATGTGGTTCCCTGTGCTATACAGTAGGACCTTGTTTATCTATTTTATATATAGTAATGTGCATTTGTTAATACCAAACTCCTAATTTATCCCTCCTCTACTCTATCCTCTTTGGTAACCATAGCTTGTTTTCTATGTCTGTGAGTCTTTTTCTGATTTGTTAATAAAATTTGTATCACTTTAAAAAATTCCATGTATAAATGATACCATATTATATTTGTCTTTCTCTAAGTTACTTAGTATGATAATCTCTAGGTCCATCCATGTTGCTGCAAATGGCATCATTTCACTTTTCATGGCT